TCCTCCAGGGCGGGACAGCCCCTGTTTTGCAGCTATTGAGTTACCTGCCTTGGCCAAGGTAGGGTGGTGTATTGCTGAAAGCCTGCTTTCAGTTTCAAGGTTCGTTGGATTCGCTGGCAAAATAACCACTCGTCTCACACAACTGAACAGATTTAATTAATTTCTTTAATAGAAGATTATTTAACATAATTTCAATATACAGTCATTAGAAGGGGATGAATAAAAGTATTAGAGAGATATAACCGAGTATACATCACCAGATTGGGCCAACACCTTCATCCAGGTTCAAACAGCAGCTGGGAAGTCCCGAGTAACAGCAGTCTGAAGTCCCAGTTGGGAAGGGTCCCGGGCAGTGCGTGGCCGCAAACCGATATCATCTGTTTGCGTGCAAAAATGCAGCTCTGGTTCAATTGTAACAATGCTGTTGATTTCACCATGTGAGTCACAAGATTTTCCAGACCGCAGGGGACTGGCGAAGTCCCCAGGGCTCAAGAAATTCCAAGACCCACTCCCTTTCTTATGGTAAGTGCTGCCTGACTAGTTAGTAACAATCGTTAAGTGTGTAAACAGGCAGGCAGCACAGTCGAGGCAGGGTCACAAGTCAGTCAGAGGCCTACCTCTGCCTCTGAAGCCTGAACAAGACTACTTTACTAGTTTTCCCAGCAGGTGGGAAACCCTGTCTTTCCATCCAGTCCCAGCCACTGCACCCTCCCCTCTACCTGCAACTCTGCCCGCTTTGGCCCATGATGCATCTGGGTCCTGCAGCCCACACACCTCTTCCTCACACTTTTCTCTGGGCATAGCCCCTGTGGCTTTTCTGCTTGCATCCTCACAGCACTGGGCACAAAGTAGGTGACTAATAATACCAGGTTGATTGTTTAGGGGGAAGTGATGACAAAGTTTTGCCATCAGGAATGTGTGTTGTGGTATCTAGAAGTGTGCTAAGGAAAATTGTGTGTTTTTAAATGCAATTGACATGTTTGCTGAAATCGTAATCATGATCATTCACGTTTATTGAGCACTTACTATGTGTCAGGCATCATGCTAGTATTTTGCAGGTTCATGGTCCTAACAATTCTGATGTTGGTACTGGGACCCTCCCATTTTGCACAAGAGGAATCAGGTTAAGTTGTTTGCGCAGGGGTTGAAGCAGAGGTTAAGCAGAGGTTAAGTTGTTTGCACAGGGTTGAAGCTGCAATTTCAGGCCAGGCGTCTGCCTCCAGGTGGCTGGAGTCAGTGCCCGGAGTCCAGTACTGAGAAGCCCAAGGTTGGATCCCAGCCCCCATTTTGCCCCCAACTAGTGGGGGATCCTGGGCAAGCCACATCTTGCTCTCAGAAAGAAGGGCTAGGCTTGATCAGGGGTTGCAGTGTCTACCGGGCATGGAGGGGCCCAGGCAGGTGCCCTAAGTTACAGAGGGCCAAGGGTGATTGTTGCCATGTGGGCACATTGTCCTGGTGTGGTCTTCCAGAATATTCCCAAGAAGCCAGAAATCCTGAGTTTTGTATGCCACCTCCTTCCTGACTTGTAGATTTCAGTAACTAATTATTTACAACATGCCACACATCAAAATAATACATCTGCTGCTCGCCTGCGGCCAGTGAGTTACCAGTTTACAAATCCTGAGCTAGGTCATCTGTAAAGACTCTTCTGCCGTCAAAATGCCAGATTCCAGGGCTTCCCTGGTGGCGCAGTGGTTGAGGGTCCGCCTTCCGATGCAGGGGACACGGGTTCGTGCCCCGGTCCGGGAGGATCCCACGTGCCACGGAGCGGCTGGGCCCTTGAGCCATGGCCGCTGAGCCTGCGCGTCCGGAGCCTGTGCTCCGCAACAGGAGAGGCCACAACGGTGAGAGGCCCACATACCGGAAAAAAAAAAAAAAAGCCAGATTCCAAAGCAGCCCCTGCCCTCCAGGGGCTTCAGTCTCCCCGGGAAATGTACCAGCATACACCCACACCAGGAAAACCCTAAATGGAGGGTCCTGGGTCCCAGGGCTGGGCAGCCAGATGAGGTTTCCTGGGGGGTAGGGTCCTGCAGAAATCTGGGATATGGACAGGAGGGGGATGGCGCCCCAGGCAAGGAGCAGTGCACAGGCGAAGGCAGAATTTTGCCCTCTCTCCATGGGTCCTCTGGGCATGCCCAGAACCAGGCCTGTCCTGGGCTGTTAGTGGGCCAGCTTCGCAGGTGAGGAAATGGAGCTTAGTGACTCACCTAAGGCTCCCAGACAGGAGGTGGTGAAGTGGGACTGAAAGCAGGTCGGGCTGCATTCTGCATTCTGCCTCCCAGAGAGGAAGAGGTGGCAGCCTGAGGATTGTGTTCCCTCCAAAGAGGAAGGAGGAAAGGAGTCTGAAACTGGAGAGTCAGTTCTGTATGTGGGAACCTGGAGGGGAGCTTCCTGGGTGGGGCGTAGCCACAGGGCTGCCCCTGCGGGTTCTAGAAGAGAGACGAGGAGTTAAAGGCTGACCATGTGAATTGAGCAGAACCAAGATTAACGTCATGAGGAGAGGTAGGTGGAGCCAAGTGCTGCAGGGGACCAGCTCCAAATCCCATCACCAGCCTCAGCAGAGCCCCTACACCCCTGCAGACCCTACCCCTTTTCCCATCGGTAAAAGGAGGTGATTGGCCCAATCAACATCTCTTTCCAAAATGGTGCATGTGCCACCAGTATTTCAGGTGGTACCTCATGGGGAACTTTTTTCCTTTATTAATTTTAATAGTCATATGTTAATTTCCATGCAAATTAGAAAAACATAATTGTCACCAAACCTGGCGTTGCACCATAGCAAAAACAGCTAACCCTTAGTGAGCGTTTTCTGTGCGGCAGGCACTGAGATGACACATTAACACATTGCATCTCATTACAAACCATGAGGTCGTGACTATCATTGCCCTCTATTTACAGAGGGGGGAAATGAGGCACAAAGGCAAACTCAGTTGTCCAGAATCATCCAGTTAGTTAAGAGGCAGAGCTGTGTTCAAGTCCAGGCAGCTGGCTCCGGAGTCTCACTCAAAGCTGTAAACAAAGAACTTTGTCTGACATTCCAGCTCTCCAAGGATCTAGCTGCAACCCACAGAAGTTGACCACGGACGGGGCTCCCTGGGGGGAATCCAGGATGGAAAAACAGCATGAAGCATTCTGTTTTGGATATAGAGCCCCTAGACAGTTAAGATGCATATCTAAGGAAGAATTTCAATGACCCAGAAATCTTGCATCTTCCCGCCCATAGAAAAACACTAAAATCATTAGCTAGAGCTATCTGGGTTTGTGTGTGTCTGTGTGTGACCTTTCACCAAGATGTATGCATGACTACGTGTATTTCCCAGCCAAGAAATTCCTACATATCCTGGCTCCTCCCCTACCTCTCCCGAGCAGTTCCTCAGAGCTATCTGAGGCTGTAGTCCTCAGTAAGACCCCTGAATAAAAACTGAAACTCACTGCCCTTATGTTGTGCGGTGCTGATTTTTTTTTTCAGTTGACAAAGCCTCTCCAATATTTTTCCTTAGACTGAGGGTAACTGCACAGGTGGTATGACACAGGTAACTGGGAAGGTGGTAAACAGATCACAGAATGGTTCCAGGGGGGCTACAGTCAGGCAGTCTCCCAGGGCCTGTCCAGAGAGGGAGCTCTATAATTTGAGGAGAAAAACTCCAGACTGCAATTTTATATCAGATAACCTTATTTTTGTAACAGGTAGTATGTTTTTTTAATGTTTTTTGACAATGATCCTGACTTTTTTTAATATTTATTTTATTTTTGTGTTTTGGCCGCATCGGGTCTTCATCGTGGGATGCAGCATCTTCGCTGCAGCATGCGGGATCTTTTTGTGGCGCGCAGCCTCTTCGTTGCAGCATGTAGGCTTCTCTCTAGTTGTGGCATGCGGGTTTTTTGTCTCTAGTTGAGGTGTGCGGGCTCAGTAGTTGTAGCGCGTTAGCTTAATTGCCCCACGGCATGTGGGATCTTAGCTCCCCGACCAGGGATCAAACCCACGTCCCCTGCGTTGGAAGGTGGATTCTTTACCACTGGACCACCAGGGAAGTCCCCAGATAGTACGTTTACATGGTTCACAAATCTAAATTATATAAAAAGATCTATACTGAGGTGCTGAACATCCCAGCAGTTTCTGTGTGTCCTTCAAGGGCTGCTTTGTGCAAATATAAGCAAAGAGAACATATTCTTCCTCCTTTTCTCCTGTCTACCTACCTTGATGTTGTTCACTTATCAGCTCGGCCTCGAGGCCTGTCGTTATCCTATCAGCCAGTGAGCTCTCCTGCAGCCCTCTCCTTGTAACAGGTGTGTGCTATTCCAAGAGGCAGCCATCCCTTCCACTAGCCCCTCTTCTGTGGGTGGCAGGGAGGTTTTCTCCCATGTTTTGCTATTACCAACAAGGCCGCAAGAAATAATAACCTCGTACATACATCATTTTGTCCAGGGCAGGTAAACATTGGCTTTGGGACAATCTCACAGTGCGAAGTGGCACCTTGGAGTCATTGTTAATTGACATTTCCCATGGTGAATGAAGGTAATCTTTTCATATGTCTAAGACTTCTTTGTACTTTTTCCTCTGAACTCTTCATATCCTTTATCTACTTCTCTATTGGGTCTTTTTGTTCTTAATCTATAAAAACTCTTTATACATTAGGAAGATAAATCTTCTGTCTGTGATTTACATTGCAGTATTTTCACCCAGGATGTCATCTGTCTTTTGATCTTGTTGTTGGTATTTTTTGGCATTTTTTGCAGAGGCTGTTTTGTTGGTTTTCTTGCTTTTGTGTGTTCTAAGGTTTATGCAGTTGAAAGTATCAAATTTTTCTTTTGTGGTCTGGATTTACAAGTCATGATAGGAAAGCCTTCCCCTCTGGAAGCTTGCTTATAAAGGAATTTGTCCATGTTTTCTGCTAATAAAAAGCCACCTTGTTCGTGGGGAGGGCCCAGAAGCACAGTCTTTTGCTCGACGGTGAACCTGACTTTGCTCACCTAGTATTTTTCTCCATCCAACACTGCAGGCTGATCTGTGGAGGCAGCAGCCTCCGGCCCAGGGCAGACGTCACCATGGCCTTCCTGATACACCTGCTGGTCTGTACCTTCGGGATGGGCTCCTGGGTGGCCATCAACGGGCTCTGGGTAGAGCTGCCCCTGCTGGTAACGGAGCTGCCCGAGGGCTGGTACCTGCCCTCCTACCTCACAGTTATCATCCAGCTGGCCAACGTCGGCCCCCTGCTGGTCACCCTACTCCATCACTTCCAACCCGGCTGCCTTTCCGAGGTGCCTATCGTCTTCACTGTGCTGGGGGTGGGCACCATCGCCTGCACCCTCTTCGCCTTCCTCTGGAATGTCACCTCCTGGGTGCTGGGCAGCCACCACAGCATCGCCTTTCTGGTCCTCACCTTCTTCCTGGCCCTGGTGGACTGCACCTCCTCCGTCACCTTCCTGCCCTTCATGAGCAGGCTGCCCACCCACTACCTCACCACCTTCTTTGTGGGTGAAGGACTCAGCGGCCTCCTGCCTGCCCTGGTGGCTCTCGCCCAGGGCTCGGGTCTCACCACCTGTGTCAACATCACTGAGACATCAGACACCACCCCGATCCCCGAGACCACCAGGAGCATGGACAGCCCACAGGTACCTGGCATTACCCAGAGCTGTTGCAGCTCTGTTCTTGGTCATAAGCAAGATCCTGCAGAGGGCTGGTGTTTCCTAGATGTTGGGTAGACCAGTGTTCTTGACCTGGCAGCGCTTTAGAGCCCCTGGGGGAGCTGCTGAGACATATGCCAGCGGGCACCCCCCTCACCCCCAGCCCTGAAATCCTTGGGGTCAGGTGTGTTTTGGAATCTGCAGTTTCAGATTTTAGAACACACTTACCCCAAGTCTGGGACAGGGCCTGTGACTCAGCAATGTAGCACAGTGACCCCCGCTGCCCACAGCCTGGGGCATTCGTGCCCAGCAGGCAGATGAAGGCTGTAAATAGACTCATATCCAGCTCAAGTGTTGCTGTCAAATGAGTCACAGAAAAATTCTGGCTTTTAGAGCTTTCTGGATTTCAGAATTGCAGATAAGGGATTGTAAACGTGTATGTATTCAGAGTTCCCCAGGTGTCGCTAATGTACAGACAGGGCTGAGAACCATAGACTTTAGACGTTGCTTCAATACCTCGTGCTGTTACAACATCAAACTTCCTCACTGGATTTTGGACAGTATATACACCTAACACTATCCAAACCACCGCAGTACAGCCATGTTTGCGAACCAGTGGCCTGGGCCACCAGAGCATGAAAGCATTTTTCTTTTTCGAGAGTTTGAATTAGTTGATAACATTTGAATTTTTTGAAATGTCACATACATAAATCTAGAGGCATGATATCTCTTGGAAAAAGGTCGCCACAGGGCGCCTTTGGGTGGGGCCGCTCTCCTGTCTCCAGCCAGCCCCTCCTCTGAACATGTATATTTGTGGTTACCAGCCCTGGAGGGCAGTCAGGGGGGAAAGCTGTAGCTTCTGGGTCAGAAAGAACCAAGTGTGCTGGCTTCGCCACGTACTCCCCGGAACCCTCAGGTAAGACAAACCGTCCTGACACCTCTGTGCCCTCTAAAACCAGGGGTGACGGACCCCACTGCGCGGGGCCGTCAGAAGGCGCACGCGAGCTGCTACGTGCACAGTGCTGCTGTGCAGTGAGCAGTCAGTCAGTGTGAGCGTTTATTATCCATCACTTATTAATAATAATGCCTAATATTATTGTATACAGGCAGACCTCGGAGATAATTGAGGGTTTGGTTCCAGACCACTGCAATAAAGCAATATTGCAATAAAGAGAGTCACACAAATTTTTTTTGGTTTCCCAGTGCATATAAAAGTTATGTTTACCACTATATGTAGTCTATTAAGTGTACAGTAGCATTATGTCTAAAACAACAATGTACATACCTTCATTAAAAAATACTTTATTGCTAAAAAATGCTAACCATCATCTGAGCCTTCAGCAGGTCGTAATCTTTTTGTTAGTGGAGGGTTTGAAATATTTCGAGAATGACCAAAATGTGACCCAGAGATACAAAGTGAACAAATGCTGTTGGGAAAATGGCACCAATAGACTCGCTTGACGTAGGGTTGCCGCAAAGCTTCAGTTTGTGTACACACACACACACAAAATGCGACATCCACGAAGTGTAACGAAGTGAAGCACGACGAAGCAAGGTGTGCCCGTATTGTCATCATTAATGAGGTTGTTACCTGTGCCCTGACATCATCAGGATCCGACTGACCCTTGTTTTGTCTTTCCCAGGGAGCTAGCAGCACTTTGGTGTCTGAGCTCGCTAGGACAGCACCCTCCGTGGTCCACCTGGAAAGCCACTACCTCCCCGCCACCTTCTCGCCCTTCGTCTTCTTCCTCCTGCTCTCCTTCATGATGGCCTGCTGCCTCATTGCTTTCTTTTTCCTCCAGCGTCTACCCAGGCGCTGGGAAGCTTCCATAGAAGACCTCCTCACCTCTCAGGTCACCCTCCACTCCATCCGGCCGCAGGAAGGGAAGGACCTGGGCCCCCCAGGCCCAGAGGACAGCGGCAAGGGCCAGGAGCCTCTGGAGGAGAAGACAGCCCCCCGGCACCTGGCCCACCTGACCTTCATCTACATCCTGGTGGCCTTTGTGAACGCGCTCACCAACGGCGTGCTACCCTCCGTGCAGACCTACTCCTGCCTGTCCTATGGGCCTGTGGCCTACCACCTGTCCGCCACCCTCAGCTCCATGGCCAACCCTCTCGCCTGCTTCCTCTCCATGTTTCTGCCTAACAGGTCTACCCCCAACCTGGCCCTGGAGAACTCTGGTTGGGGGCACACTTCATGTCAGAACCCAGAATCCCACACCCACCTATCAGGCTGGATGTGTAGTGGTTAAGAGTATGGTTTCTGGGGCTCAACTGCCTGGGTTCGAAGCCCGGCTCTGCCACTTACTAGCTTTGTGATACTGGACAAGTCACTCCACCTCTCTGTGCCTCAGGAATCTAGAAAGTGGGGATAATCATAGATCTTCTTCCTAGGTTGCTGGGGGCATAAGACGAGCTAATCTGGTAAAGCTTTTACAGCAGTGGCACATGTCAGGTCCACCGTCACCACCATTGGCCCATGTGGAGGAGCAAGCAGGAAGTGAGGTTCCCATTTACAAATGGAAACCCTGAGGCTTGGAGAAAGGGTCTGCCGTGGTCTAATTCCCAGGATCTCAGCCCTGCCCTCCTGCCTCCGGCCCATGCCGGCTCCCTTACAGCTGCAGTTCTAGAAGAATGGCTGGGCAAATTGATAAAACGCAGATTGATCCAGCCTAGATTTCAATTTTTTTTTAATATAAATATTTATTTATTTATGGCTGTGTTGGGTCTTCGTTGCTGCGCGCGGGCTTTCTCTAGTTGCGGCGAAGCGGGGGCTGCTCTTCGTTGCGGTGTGCGCGGGCTTCTCATTGCGGTGGCTTCTCTTGTTGCGGAGCACGGGCTCTAGGCGTGCGGGCTTCAGTAGCTGTGGCTCGAGGGCTCTAGAGCGCAGGCTCAGTAGCTGTGGCGTACGGGCTTAGTTGTTCCGCGGCATGTGGGATCTTCCCAGACCAGGGCTCGAACCCGTGTCCCCTGCATTGGCAGCAGATTCTTAACCACTGTGCCATCAGGGAAGTCCCAATTTCATATTTTAATAAGCAGCCTAAGTGGTTCTGATGTGGGGACTTCGGATCCGCACAGGAGAAACACCCACCTTGGGGTTGTGAAACTTTAGGTGTCCCTGCCTCCCACGTGCTCCTCTGCCCTGCCTGGCCTCACAACCTCTCAGCCCTGCCCACCCCCTACCCCCCAGCCCGGGAAGGAGGAGTAATGAGGACAGGAGAGCTGGACAGAAGATGTCACTTTGCCAGAAAGATGATTTTTCTCCCTTGAGGTTTAAAAACTGTGGAGGGAAGCTGGAGATTTCTCAGGGAGCAGGACCAGAGGCCACAGACCTGTGGACGCTGAGACGCCCAGAATGTTAGAAATACAGAGTCTGAGAGTCTCAGAATTCAAGAATTTTGGAGCAGAATGAGTCCTTAGAGGCAGGGCAGCCCCTCCACTGTCACCTAGGGGTGCATACCTGTCAGTGTTCTGAAGAATGTGGCCAGGGAGACCCCAGGGAAAAGGCCTCAAATGAAGGATGGTGTCCTCAGTGGTCAGACCGAGGGCCTACATGGAAGGCCACCAGTGTAGTGCCTCTAAGCCAGCCACCAGGACCCCCAGATCATGCAAACCTCACGTTGTAGACAAGGCAGCTGAGGCTGGAGGGAGAAGGGTCACCTGAGGTCGCACAGCACACACCCTGCAGTGCCAGTAACATGATCCAAGCCTCCCGCTCATCAGCGCAGTTTCCTGGCTGGGCTGGGGAGTATCACAGCAGGAAATGGCAGCAGATGGTAGCAGGTGGGCCCACAGCCAGGGCCAGGCCCTGCACACTCTGCTCCCCAGCCCCACAAGACTCATTACGCAGGTGAGGAAACTGAGGCTTAGGGACCAGTCCTGCGGGTGGAACTGAGATTTGAACCAGGCTCATGTAGCACTAGAGTCTATTCTGTTTTTCCTGCTGCGATGCTGGGCCCTGCTGTTAACACTCAGGATGACTTAGGCCAGCCTTGACCCCAGGAACCTCGCTGACCCACTTGAACTGGGTAGCCTGGAAGTTTCCACATGGGTCTAACCTCTAAGCCTGGAGACTCTGACCACTCCCTGTGGCCCCCTGGGGCTGGGGCAGGGTGGGGGAGTAGGGGCAGAGGTCAGGCTACTCACCTCCTCTATTCACGTCCCACCACCCGCTCTGTCCTAGGTCTCTGCCATTCCTGGGGGTCCTTACAGTGCTCGGGACCGGCTTTGGGGCCTACAACATGGCCATGGCCGTGATGAGCCCCTGCCCCCTCATGCAGGGCCACTGGGGTGGAGAAGTCCTCATCGTAAGTATCTGGCCTGTGGAGCTGTCCGCCTCCCACCCCCCAGCTAGCCAAGGCCTGGGAGGTCGAGAGTATAGCCCCTTCTCTTGACCAAAGTCTTTGTGGTTACTCACTCAGGAAGCCCAAGGTTGGGGGGAGGGGGAGGGATGCTTCTTATTTGGAAACAGAGGCTTAAGAAGGTGAGCTGGCTGGTCCAAGGTGACAGTCCAGCTTCTCCCCTGAATGCCACACTCTTTCCACTATGTGTGTGTCAGCGTGGCCTTCTCTTAGTTGCCCTTGACTTGATCATGAGACAGAAAAGCTATTGGGCTCTCCTTTGTCCTTGGGGAGGTCAACTCAGGGGGCCCCGTTAGTCCAGCAGAGTCACCCGCAAAAGGCTCTCCTTGAACTTAGAGGTCATTCCATGGGGTCCCCTTAGCCCTGTTCGGTCACCCTAGAAGCGCCCTTCGCCCTTGGGGCTTGCCCCAAAGTTACCTTCACTGTTGAGTCTCTCCCAACCAATCCCCGCAGGTGGCTTCGTGGGTGCTGTTCATTGGCTGTCTGAGCTATGTCAAGGTGATGCTGGGCGTGATCCTGCGTGACCGTAGCCGCAGCGCCCTCTTGTGGTGCGGGGCGGCGGTGCAGCTGGGCTCGCTCCTCGGAGCGCTTATCATGTTCCCACTGGTCAACGTGTTGAGGCTCTTCTCATCCGCTGACTTCTGCAGCCTGCAGTGCTCCACCTAGGCCAACTGAAGTGGCGTGGTCCATCACAAGGCCCCGCCCCCATGACTAACACCCGGAAACTGGGACCCCTCGAGGCAAGGCGTGTGCCCAAGGTCGCAGAGCCAGTGGTAGGGAGCTAGGAGGCAGAGCTCTTTAACTGATTTGCAGCACCCTGCTGGAGGATGTTAGAAGCGGAACAGCTGGGAGGTTGAGCTGCCCATTATAAGCTATGTGACCTTGGGGAAGTCACTTGATTGCTCTATCCCTCTGTTTCTTCATCCATAAAATGGGGATTATAAGAAATAACACCTACTTCATAGGTTTGGCACAGGGATAAAATGCAGAAGCACCCAGCACATCCTGATCTGACGCCCAACAGTACTAACAGGAGTGACAATCTACAAAGCCTAGAAGTGGCCAGAGGCGTTGAGAGATGACCCCTTCCCCATATCCTTTTTCCCCCATTGTCTCAGAGAAGCTTCTAGAAGACAGATGGCTAACGGTGGAATCTCAGGCACCTTGGCTTCCCAATTCCCACTATGGAGGAACATTGCACCCCTTCCTGTCACCCCTGCTGACCCAGGAAGGCCCACTCCTTGGAGATTAAGTGACCTCCTAAGAGGCAGAGAGAGGATTGGGGCGGAGGGGCCACAGCAAGGCTCTGAACGTGAGTCCCCCCCACCCCATTCACCGGCCGACACTGAACTGGGAGGCAGTCCTCTGAACTGGGGGGAGGAGGAGAGTGGGGAAGAGTATGTTAGCTACCTGATAGTTTTTTGGTTTTACTTTTTGTTTTTCTTTTTTTAAATAAAGACATTCCCTGCTTTTACACTAAGGTCAGCCTTCCAAGAAAAAGTCCAGCATGAACACCAAAAAAAAAGTTTCAATATAATCAGCTTTCAGTTGGTTCTAAGGTCAAGGCTGAGCTCAGAAATAAACAGAATCAAGGGCTTAGAGAATGTCTGGTCCTGGGACTTCTTTGCTTTTGAGGTTTGTTTTGTTTGCTTCCGCCACCCTTCCTTTTTAATTTTGAATAGATAATATAGTCACATGTTTCAAAAGTCCGAAAATATAAAATAATGTTCAGCAAAAAAATTCCATCCCTGTGCACTCCCCCCTCTGCCCAGTTCCCCTTAACACATACATGAGCACTTTTATTTGTTCCCTGTTTACTCTTCCAGAGATTATGCAAATATAAGCAAATTCAAACATAGAGCCTTTTTACATAAAAAGTAGTAAACTGCTGTGTACTTTGCACTTTCAGGCAACAGTGAAAATGCAGAGAGCCTTCTTGTTCTTTGTCGTGACTGCATAGTATTCCACTGTGTGGAGGTGCCAGATTTGTTCAACCAGCCCTCTGTAGAAAGACATTTGAAGGTGTTGGAGACAAAATTAAACACTAAATCTCCCACCAACCCCAAAAACCTCTCCACAAAAGTAGAAAAGAAAGAAAATAGTTTTACTATTGAATATATGTTCAACCTGATTGTGGTGCACATCACAGATGGTCTGCTAAAAAGATTGCACAAGCAGAAACTCTACCCTTCTATATAGTCCAGTAGACACAACCTATTACATCCAGGTTCTCAAATGATAACCTCAAGTAAGAGAAGTAGATAACACGGTTTGTCATTCTGAACTCAGCTAGTGATTGGGGTGGCTCTCTGTGTTAGCTAATTGTCCTTAACCACAGGAAAGAAGAACTCATATCTTTATGAAAGGAGGTGGCTTCCCAACTTGGAGCCAAACCCTGAGTTAAGCTCCTACACTCCGGAGACTGGGTGATGGGGTGTGGCTTCCCGATATTTACATTGCAAACAGAGGGTTCCCTTGTGTGGTAAAACCGGCAAGAGGCTCATTCAGCTTTTTTAAAAGCCTCTCATACATGCAAAAAGGAGCAGAGAAAGAATTTACGTTTTCTAAATTAAATGCTCAAGAAAAGGGAGTGGGGATGTCTCTTTCCCTTTTGGGCACCAGAAAGAAATGTTTTTATTTGTATTTGCCCTTACAAGGGCATTTGGGTTGTTTCCAGTCTTCTCTCCCAGAAAAGACATTGAAGTAGATAATGAGCAAGAAGACCATCTCTCTACTGACGTGGGAAGATGCTCCAAGATTAATTACACACGTGGGAAGCTGATGCAGAAGAACGTGTAGAGTGCGGTGCTGGCCATGCTAATACACTCTGTCCAGCACTAGGTGGGAGGGCGGGTGACTTGCTGTTTGGAAAAGGCACCTCCATCTGACAGCCCTCTCTATGGTTTTGCTTCCGCCCTCCTCCTTGGAAGCCTGTGACCTTGACAACCTTTTAGTTACCAGGCACAAGTCAGCTGTCCTCCACCTCCTCCTCTGTACAATGGAGACAATAAAAGCCCCTCCCTTTCAGGGTTGTTGTGAGGGTTAATCAGCCCCACACTTGCAAAGAGTGAGTGCTCAATAACTGTCATTAAAAAGCTTCCACTTTGAGAGAATATCTGCTATGGACCCTGGATGCCCCTTCCACCCCACCCCCACCCACCCCCTCCCTGAACTTAAGTCCAGTTGACCCACGTCACGTGATGTCTCTACAGTCCAACCAAGGAAGTTTCCCTGAAGAATGAGAGCAGAACTCTGGACTCTGCCTAGGGTTGGCAGCGGGTGGGCATCCCTGAGGACGACCCCGCTCCCCAAGCTGGTATCTTAAGGTGGTTGGAGGGAAGGAGGTAAAGCAAGAAGGAAGGAGCCTTCTGGGCAGCAGAAACTGCACTTGCAAAAGCGGTGGGGCAGGAGGCAGCAGGCCGCATTCAAGCACCTAAAAGGAGGCCAGGTTAGGGAGGCCAGGGGCAGGCACAGAGGCAAGGGCCTCAGAGGTCAAGGTTGTGAAGGGGTGGAGGGTTGTGTTGGCCTCTGTGGGTTTCGGCGGGGAGGTGGTGATATTGCAGGGAACCACAGCAGATACAAACAGACTTGGAAACTACTGCAGCCATCTGGGCAGAAAGGGCCCTGCGCTGGGTGAGCCATGCAAAGGCCAGCTTATCACACAGGCTGAAATATACGATTTGTCCTTTTTGGTCTCCTAAGAAATTTTCCTGGAAGTCAATGACTGATTGAGCAAAGAGTCTAAATAAAAAGGACAGAACGACCCTCCTTCCACCCCAGGCCATGGATGGGAGCTAAAGGGATCCGAGTATGGAGAGCAGGTAAGGTCCCAGCCTCTGCCCCAAGAAACCAGAGCAAGAAGGGCTGATCTGGTTTGAAGCTGGCCACCCAAATCCCGAGTGGGGGTCCCCAGGAGACATTCCCTCCCACCATTTTGCTGGTAGTATACTCTGAGAAATGTTTAGAACTGTCTGGAAAACAGAGCCTGAAAAGTGACACCTGGGGCAGGAGTCGCACAGGCCCCGGTGCTCTGGGGAGATTGACCTGGTCAGAGCTGCCCTAGGTTTAGGCAAATCCAGCCAGCCTCTGCCCAAGAGCGCTGAGCCCGAACCCAGCTTCCGCCCCGTCCTGTCATTTTCTGCAGTGGAGACACCCTGCAAACCACCTTCCAGAGAAACTGCAGAGAGCAGGGGGCACGGCGGTATGGTTTGATTTATACCTTCTAATGCTTTAGACGGATGGCACATGGGCCTCTGAGTGGGTCCCAGGCCCTGCAAATGGGGTCACGTGCGAGCAGTGGTCCTCGCTCTTCAGGGCTCCGAGCTCCATGAGGGAGGGCTTGCATCTGGACTGTTTATCCTGGACCCACAGGCCTCAGCCCCATGCCTTGCCCTGAGAAGGGCTCAGCGAATATTACTTAGTGGTGGGAAGAATGGCCTCTCCAAAGCTGTGCATGCCCTGATTCCTGAAACCTGTAAATATGTTACCTTACACGGCAAAAGGGGGTTTACTGATGGAATTAAGGTTACAGACCTTAAAATAGCGAGTTTATTTTGGATTTCTTGAGTGGGCCCAATCTAATCACATGAATCTTTAAAAAACAGAGAATCAGAAGAGGTTCAGCTGAAGAAATGAGAAGAAAGATGCAGCACCAGACACTACAACAGCAAAAAACCCAAACAATCCTATTAAAAATGGACAAAGGACCTGAATATATGTTTTTCCAAAAAAGACACACACATGACCAACAGGTACACGGAAAGGTGTTCAACATCACTAATCATCAGGGAAATGCTAATTAAAACCACAATGAGATATCTACCACATGGCTGTTATCGAAAAGACAAGAGTTAAGTGTGCGTGGGGATGTGGAGAAAGGGCAACCCTCATGCACTGTTGGCAGGAGTGTAAATTCACGCAGCCACTATGGAGAACGGTATGGAGGTTCCTCAAAAAAATAAAAATAGAACTACCATACGATCCAGCAATCCCACTTCTAGGTATATAACTGAAGGAAATAAAATAACTATCTCAAAGAGATATCTGCACCTTCATATTTATTGCAGCCTTGTTTACAATAGCCAAGACATGGAAACAACCTAAGTGTCCATCAACAGATGACTGGATAAAGAAATGTATTTTTATACACAGTGGAATAATAATCAGCTATAAAAAATAAAGAAATCCATGGGGCTTCCCTGGTGGCACAGTGGTTGAGAATCTGCCTGCTAATGCAGGGGACACGGGTTCGAGCCCTGGTCTGGGAGGATCCCACATGCCGCGGAGCAACTAAGCCCGTGTGCCACAGCTACTGAGCCTGCACGTCTGGAGCCTGTGCTCCGCAACAAGAGAAGCCGCGACAGCGAGAGGCCCGCGCACCGCGATGAAGAGTGGCCCCCGCTCGCTGCAACTAGAGAAAGCCCTCGCACAGAAACGAAGACCCAACACAGCCAAAAATAAATTAATTAATTAATAAACTCCTACCCCCAACATCTAATAAATAAATAAATAAATAAATAAAATAAAATAAAGAAATCCTGCCATTTGTGATAATATGGACGGACCTTGAGGGGCACTATGTTAAGTGCAGTAAGTCAGACAGAGAAAGACAAATACTGTATAGTCTCCCTTATAAAATCTTAAAAAAAACTGAACTGATAGAAACAGAGTAGATTGGTGGTTGCCGGTGAAACCATGCATCTCAGAGTGGGACTTGAACCCACGGTCTTTTAACTGTGATCACACACCTGGTCTCAGGACTTAATGAAGCTCAGGTTCTTGATGTCTCATCACAGAATGAATTCAGTGAGAGACAAAGTGATAGGTAAGAAGCGGGTTTACTTAGAGAGAAACACACTCCACAGACAGAGTGTGAGCCGTCTCAGAAGGTGAGAGTGACACCAGGGTATGGGGTTGTCAGTTTTTATAGGGGTGGGTAATTTCATAGGCTAATGAGTGGGAGGAGTATTCCAGATATTTGGGGGAAGGGGCGGGGATTTCCAGGAATTGGGGCACCGCCCACTTTTTGACCTTTACAGTCAGCCTTGGAACGGTCATGGCACCTGTGGGTATGTCATTTAGCGTGTTGATGTGTATAAGCCTCAGCGTATAGAGGCTTAAGGTCTAGTGGAAGTCTTGTCTGCCATCCTGGACCTAGTTGGTTCTAACCATTTATGTCTTGTCATATGGCTATGTCGTTCTTTTAAAGGTTGTGCCCTGCCCCCTTCACCCCAGTTTCACCAGGGGCTGGGGGTGGAGGAAATGAGGAAATGTTAGTCAAAGAGTACAGACTTCCAGTTACAAGATGAATAAGTCCTGGGGAAGTAATATACAGCATGATAACTATAGTTAACAATAATACTGTATTGTATACTTGAGGACTTCCCTGGCAGTCCAGCGGTTAAGACTCCATGCTTCCAATGCTACGCAGTGCAGCAAAAACAAACAAACAAACAAACAAAACTGTATTGGGACTTCCCTGGTGGCACAGTGGATAAGAATCCGCCTGCCAATGCAAGGGACACGGGTTTGATCCCTGCTCTGTGAAGATCCCTCATGCCGCGGAGCAACTAAGCCACAACTACTGAGCCTACACTCTAGAGCTCTCCTGCCACAACTACTGAAGCCCGCG